ACAACCGAAATTATATAAGCTTAAGCTTATCAAAATGAACACATCGGTCTTTTCAAGAACAAATTACGGATTTAGCTGCTACTGAAAAAGCTGTCCGTCTGGAAACAGTACAACAGAAAATGTATGCGACTTGATGGACCGAAACATTCCTATTCAGGTTTTTATTCCGATTTAACTTATTCACATTTCCCTTTTATTCCATTACTTTCATACCCTTACTCTTTTTACATAAACACACATCATCTAAAATTAAAATTACAATTACAATGCTAAGCTGTAGCCGCTTCTAATTCAATCATTTTTTATGTCTGGAACAATCATTTTTAAGCCTGCAAAATCCGCCCAGGATTGGGGAGCGAAGCTGATGCTAAGAATCCTTCCCCACAGCATAAATTAATTGTTAAATTTTATATAAATTAATAAATTAATTGTTAAATTTTACTGAAAAACACTTTTTTTGAAAGCTTATTTCAAGGATCAGAGCTGTGGTAACCACAAAATTTACACTACGGTACTTGGATCAGCCGCAATGCGCTCAAGATTGCCAACGATAAATAATGACAGAATGACTAGTATGATGAGAAATGCGATCCCTGAGAGTGATTATCCATTTTGGCGTCCAGATGATTTCTTTTTCCCTTTAAAAACGTGTTTTTTCCTACGCTTCGCGGGCAATTCCACTGCAGATACCTAAAATGAAACTAATACAAACGAATACACTACTAGAAATAATAACAAATTATGCGAATTTTTCATAATATTATAGTTGGTAAGGTACCTCCTCCTAGTTGATAAGGCCTCCTGTAGTGATTTATAAGTGGCAGTGCTGGCATCTCAAAACGACAAAAGCCTCTGTGTTTCTGCTAGCAGAATCATCGATCTAGTAATCGTAACAACACACAAGACGAATGTCCGCCAAGCTGATACCACGTGAACCACAGCTATCGTCGGGTTTCTCCATCCCTCCCCCTTCCCCACCCGCTCCCTCCTTAGCGGAGCAATTTGCAGTGCTAAAAATGAAAAAAACTGAATTGTTACCGCTGGGGGCGATTATGGGCTGATCGGGGGGAGGGAGAAGGAGTGGAACTTCTGGCGTAGTGGCGAACGGGGAGAGGAAAATCCTCCAAATCGCTCTTGCCCAGGAAACCGCCCTGGACCCGCCTATGACCACAATTAATAAAAGAAACTGGAAAGGTCACTAGCTACAGAATTTGTGAACTAGAATATGATTTATCAGCTATTTCAAGTTTTCAGACAACAGTGATGTTACAAACATACCAGAGATCAGTGAGCAAAAAATAGCTGCCTTCTAACTGAACAATTTCAAAAAAAAAGCTATGGCAATTTGCACATCAACACAACCTTAATTTTATTTTTATGGCAATTCGTTAATTTTGTGGCAATTCGTTAATTTTATTTTTTAAAACAAAAAACATA